TAGACTCACATAGAGATCTATAGACTCACATAGAGACCCATAGACTCACACAGAGATCTATAGACTCACATAGAGACCCATAGACTCACATAGAGATCTATAGACTCACATAGAGATCTATAGACTCACACAGAGAGCCATAGACTCACACACAGACCCATAGACTCACGCAGAGACCCATAGACTCACGCAGAGACCCATAAACTCACACAGAGACCCATAGACTCACACAGAGGCCCATAGACTCACACAGAGACCCATAGACTCACGCAGAGACCCATAGACTCACACAGAGACCCATATACTCACACAGAGATCCATAGACTCACATAGAGACCCATAGACTCACACAGAGACCCATAGACTCACACAGAGACCCATAGACTCACACAGAGAGCCATAGACTCACACAGAGACCCACAGACTCACACAGAGACCCATAGACTAACACAGCGACCTATAGACTCACACAGAGACCCATAGACTCACACAGAGACCCATAGACTCACACAGAGACCCATAGACTCACACAGAGACCCATAGACTCACACAGAGACCCATAGACTCGCACAGAGACCTATAGACTCACACAGAGACCCATAGACTCACACAGAGACCCGTAGACTCACACAGAGACCCATAGACTCACACAGAGACCCATAGACTCACACAGACCCATAGACTCACACAGAGAGCCATAGACTCACACAGAGACCCATAGACTCACACAGAGACCCATAGACTCACACAGAGACCCATAGACTCACACAGAGACCCATAGACTCACACAGGGACCCATAGACTCACACAGAGACCCACAGACTCACACAGAGACTGATAGACTCACACAGAGATCCATTGACTCACACAGAGACCCACAGACTCACACAGAGACCCATAGACTCACACAGAGACCCACAGACTCACACAGAGATCTATAGACTCACACAGAGACCCATAGACTCACACAGAGACCCACAGACTTACACAGAGACCCATAGACTCACACAGAGACCCATAGACTCACATAGAGACCCATAGACTCACACAGAGATCTATAGACTCACACAGAGATCTATAGACTCACACAGAGACCCATAGACTCACACAGAGACCCACAGACTCACACAGAGACCCATAGACTCACACAGAGACCCACAGACTCACACAGAGATCTATAGACTCACACAGAGACCCATAGACTCACACAGAGACCCACAGACTCACACAGAGACCCATAGACTCGCACGGAGACCCATAGACTCACACAGAGACCCACAGACTCACGCAGAGACCAATAGACTCACACAGAGACCCACAGACTCACACAGAGACCAATAGACTCACACAGAGACCCACAGACTCACACAGAGATCTATAGACTCACACAGAGACCCATAGACTCACAGAGAGACCCATAGACTCACATAGAGACCCATAGACTCACACAGAGACCCATAGACTCACATAGAGACCATAGACTCACACAGAGATCTATAGACTCACACAGAGACCCATAGACTCACAGAGAGACCCATAGACTCACACAGAGACCAATAGACTCACACAGAGACCCATAGACTCACACAGAGACCCATAGACTCACACAGAGACCCACAGACTCGCACAGAGACCCATAGTTTGTTGTCTATCCCTCACACCTCCGATTAGCACGGTTGGCTACGTACGGTATGAAAGAAGTTCAACACAGTAGCACAGAACAGCATCATAGTGCTGGCCGCAACAACGTACGCTTCGCGGCATTCTAATGGAGGGGGGGGGGGGTAATGCACGGAGTATATGCGCTTTCCGCCCAGTTTCTGCTGATTGTTCACGCACGAAGCAAACGTAGCGCCTTGACTAAAGAACGCTTGGCAGGAGGAGAGTTGTCAAATCACCCACACGAATGCCGCAACAAATCTCCCTTCCCATGGGCGGTGTCGAGGTGTTGTCATATATATTAGACATACACCCTGGCTCGCCAGGAGAAGGAAAGTTCGGACTAAGTATCGTCTGTCTCTTCTGCATGGGATCGAGCGTTCTCCCCTTTCGCGCGCGTGCGTTTTCTCTCCAGTAACCTGGTTTTCGCCCACATGTCATAAGGTGCCGGGCCTTAATGTGTGCTCGCGAACAGATCTTGCCTCAAGTGAAGGGATCTTTGTTTTGATTGTGTAGTAATGCGTGCACTGTATGTTCAGCGGTCGGGGTGAGTCCTCAGGGATGAGGGAGATGTGAGGGTTTGTGGTCTCGGTTTGCGGTTGGGTTCGGAACAGCTCACGGCGGGATGCAGGCAGAGGTCAAACCAGAGGCTTGGCACCATCACCGCGATCACCAAACACAGCCACCCACCACACACTGTCACCACCACGATCGCGCACCATCACCACCACACCATCACCACTACCACACCATCACCACTACCACACACAATCACCATCACACCGTCACCACTACCACACACACCGCCACACACTATTAACACAACTGTCGCACACCATCACCACCACCACACACCACCACCACTACCACCACACACCACCACCACTACCACCACACACCACCACCACTACCACCACACACCACCACTGCCACCACACACTATCACCACCACGATCGCGCACCATCACCACCACACACAATCACCACTACCACCACACACCACCACACACCACCACCACTACCACACACACCCACACCGCCACACACTATCAACACAACTGTCGCACACCATCACCACCACCACCACACACAATCACCACCACCACCACACACAATCACCACCACCACACCCCACCACCATTACCACCACACACCACCACCACACACTGTCACCACCACGATCGCGCACCATCACCACCACACCATCACCACCACACCATCACCACCACACCATCACCACTACCACACACAATCACCATCACACCATCACCACTACCACACACATCTACACCGCCACACACTATCAACACAACTGTCGCACACCATCACCACCACCACACACCACCACCACTACCACCACACACCACCACCACACACTGTCACCACCACTACCACACACAATCACCATCACACCATCACCACTACCACACACACCCACACCGCCACACACCACCACCACCATCACACCGTCACCACTACCACACACAATCACCACCTACACCACACCGCCACCACCACACACTGTCACCACCACGATCGCGCACTGTCACCACCACACACAATCACCACCACACCATCACCACCACCTACTACCACACACACCGCCACACACACAATCACCTCCACCACACACCACCATACACCACCACCACTACCACCACTACACCGTCACCACCACCACACACAATCACCACCACACCATCACCACCACCTACTACCACACACACCGCCACACACACAATCACCTCCACCACACACCACCATACACCACCACCACTACCACCACTACACCGTCACCACCACCATACATAATCACCACCACACCATCACCACCACCTACTACCACACACACCGCCACACACACAATCACCTCCACCACACACCACCATACACCACCACCACTACCACCACTACACCGTCACCACCACCACCACACACAATCACCAGCACCACCACACGATGACCTCTACCACCACACACCGTCATTACCTACACCACACCGCCACCACACACCATCACTACCAGCCATTCGCCGCTAAGTGATTGTGACGTCACCACGGCGCCTGTGCCAGGCTAGGTGCACGTTGAGGCCACGTGAAGTGTCAGAGGCTCGCTGACAGGAGGAGGTCACGGGACAGACCCAGCAGGTGCCATGGCTTGGCTGACCGAGATGACCGGCAGATGCACCGCCAGCTGTAACCCCCCCTACTGTGCCAACTTGCTGCGTTTTAACCGCCCGACGCTCCGCTCGTTGTTGTGAGCGTCGCTCCCTCTGCCCTCTGTTGTTGTTGCTGCTGGAGGGCAAACTGCCTCCAAACTGCCTCCAAACTGCCCAGCAGCCTCCTCAAGGTGCACCTAGCCTGGCACTGCGCAGCAGCAGCAGCGTCCTTCACGAGCCTCCTCCTCCTCCACAGAGGCCGATGTTGACGACTCCGTTGACAGGAGGCAGACCCAGTTGGGCGAGGCAGCGCTGACTCGACAGACGATGGCTAAAGTCCCCGCGTGCGAACACCTAGGAAGGAGGTGGGGGCTGGGGGGGGGGGCTGGGGGACTGGGGGGCGGGGGGGGTGGGGAGGGGGTGGGGACTGGGGGGCAGGGAGTGGGGGGGGGCTCACCCAACAGGGGAACCGGTCTGCCGGCATTCAGTGACATCGCCTCGAGGGCGCGTCGCTTGTCGGGACTTTGCTCTTCACGGCAATTGTTGCTGGCCCTCGTCATCGCGCTGGGTGTGAGACGACCCCCGTGGAGTGTTTGTTTTTGATGGTAACAGCCACAAAGAATTTGCGGAGTTGACTGAGAGCCAAAATATATATTTTTAATTATCATTATTATCATTATTATTATTATTTACATGCGCGGAATTTTTTTTTTTTTGCAAACCCGCCAGACCGTGTGATGGTGATCGCGGTGATCGCACCATGGTGTGATCGTGGTGATCGCACCATGGTGTGATCGCGTTCAATGACGGGAGTGTGCGTGTCATCATCTGCAGTGCCGGTGGTGATGGGGGTGGGGAGCGGCGGTGCAACGGTCGGCGCGATGCCCCACGAACCTCGGCGACCCGAGTTCGATTCCCGCTCTCACGGCCGAACACGCAGTTACGGTTGTCTGAACCGGTCCTGTTAGGTCGACTCGGCCTCAAATGAGCACCCGGTTTCCGGGGTGCGGAGATCGCCGCTGGGGAGACAAAGGCGGCCGGGCGCGGTGCTGGCCACCCACCCCCTCGCGTGGCGTGCCGGCCTTCACAGGTGCTGCTCGCTAACGGCACTTGCCCCAACAGTCTGTCACAGGCTATACGTGGGATCCTTGCCTTGGTTTTGTCTCCTCTGTCACTCCCGTAGACGGTACAAAGCAAGAAATTAATCCAGCCGGAAGAAAACAACAACAACGACAACAACAACGACAACAACAACGACGACAACAACAACAACGACGAACAGACAAGGCAGAACGACGGAGCGGGCAGACCCCGACGGTGCCAGGCCCTGACAGCAGTGGCCCGGGCATTGTGGGTTTCGAGGCGCGGGTGGGTGGTGGTGGTGGTGGGTGTGGTGGTGGTGGTGGGTGTGGTGGTGGTGGTGGTGGGTGTGGTGATGGTGGTGGGTGTGGTGGTGGTGGTGGGTGTGGTGGTGGTGGTGGTGGTGGTGCTGGATGTGGTGGTGGGTGTGGTGGTGGTGGATGTGGTGGTGGTGGTGGTGGGTGTGGTGGTGGTGGTGGGTGTGGTGAGTGCGGCAGCGGTCGGCAGGAGGGGGCAGCGGCGAGGGTCGGCCCATCCATGGAGGAGACGGAGCCGCCGGGCGGCGCGCTGCGGCGTCTGCCGTGGCTCGTGGCCACGTCGCAGCTGCTGGGCCTGCTGTGCGTGGCGCTCGGCGCCGTGTGGACGGCGTACTTCCGCGGCGGCTTCGCCTGGGAAGGCGACCTCCTCTTCAACGTCCACCCGCTGTGCATGGTCATCGGCATGGTGTTCCTCTACGGGGAAGGTGGCCACTCGCCCCGCACGCCCGCCGATCCGCACGAGCCCCTCGCCTACCGATTTGCTCGCTCCCTCGCTCGCTCGCTCCCTCGATCGCTCCCTTGCTCCCTCACTCGGTCCCTTGCTCACTCCCTCGCTCGCTCGCTCCCTCACTCACTCCCTCACTCGCTCCCTCACTCACTCCCTCACTCGCTCCCTCACTCACTCCCTCACTCGCTCACTCGGTCCCTCGTCTGGAGAGGCAATGCTGGCCTGGGATGGTGCTGGCCACCCATCTTCACAGGTGCTGCTCGCTAACGGCGCTTTCCCCAACCGCCTGTTAAAGTTTAACACGGAGCGGGCGGGGGGACGTTTCACACGTAGGCTTTCGCTATCGATGGTATCCATAATGAAGGTTTTTTCTTGTGGGTTCGATCGCGTAAAAATCCAAATGCATCCGTAGTCTGTTGAATTCTGCGCGGGGTGGGCTGAGCGGGAGGAGGAGGAGAGGGGGGGGGGGGGATGATCTTCGTCTTTGTGTGACTCCTTGCTTCCCGACAGCCATCCTCATCTTCAGGATCTTCAGGAACGAGGTGAAGAAGTCCGTGAAGATCATACACGGCATCGTTCACGTCGGCGCCCTCATCGCCGCCATCATCGGTGAGCCTCCGCTACCGAGCGTCTTCGCGCTCAATGCGCGTACGTACGTATGTACGTCGAACTCCTTCAGTGCTGTGCTGGAGCCAGCCGTGCTCGTCGGAGGTGCGGAGGGAAGGACAACAAGCTGAACACAAAAATCACTCCTAAGGAAATGTGTTTGTCAATCTAGATGATTGATTTCATCTTAGCTTAATGAGATTGATATCGCGCCTTCACCAAGGCGCTTTACAGCAATTATACAATTGTACATAGCATGGTCGTAATTTGAAATAAAGAATTGGGTTATTGTAGTTTTGATGCAGTAAAGCAAGATGGATTGATGAGGAGGGGTTGGGATAGGCCTGGTCGTAGTTTGGGGGGGGGGGGGCGTATCTCCAGTGGCTTCCCAATATCGGAAGGAGAAAGAGCGTTCCAGACGGCCGCAGAAGCGCATCTGAAAGCGCGATGCGGTGACCACCGTCTTATTTCAATGGCTAGCCAAAAGTCGCTGCTCCTCCTGCTGCTGCTGCTCCTGTTGCTCCTGCTGCTGCTGCTCCTGCTGCTGTTCCTCCTGCTGCTGCTGCTGCTGCGACGAGCGGAGTTGGCGTGGTCACGGTTTATGCTGTTTGACGAGATCACCAAGGTATTGTGGTTCAGTCATTCCAGTCCAGCTTGTGCTAGCGGTGTTGCATCACGGGACAAATCGTCCGTTACACGGGCGGCACTCTGACGTGTCCTCGGCTCGCGCTGTTCGGTACTTCAGCACCTCAATTGGGTTGCTCCCTCTCTCGCTCTCTCGCGTAGTTGAATCGAAAAATATTGGTGGGCCGGGCATCGTTTAAGGTTTTTTTTTTCTGGGAGCATCGCTGGTACCACCACGATGTCCTGCCGGAGGGCGACGCTGGGAGGGATGATGACGAAGACGACGATGTCGATCCCGCCAGCACGACCGTGACCGCCGGCCGTACCGAGAGAGCGCCTGGTGCGCCATTGCCTCCCAAGTGGTCTCGCTCCCAAAGACAAGGGGGGTGGCCGCCCCCGTAAGAAGCACAACGTGCTGGGGAATGACCAGACCAGCATCCTGATGTACTTTCGAAACAAGCGATAAACAGCCGTTGCCACGCACAAATACCCCAGCAGCCCCCTTGTTTATGGGTGTTTTGCGTTTGTTTTTTTATTTCCATATTTGGCGTTGCGTGTCGGGCTCAGTGACATCTCCACATCTTCATAGGCCTTCTGGTTTCGGAGTTATGGAGGTTTTGGCACCCCCGGATCACGACGGTGACCCGGGTCACCGCAAATCGATTCACTTGATGCCGAGTAGCCGCTCGGCTCGGCTTCCTTGGGTGCCTTGGAGATGTTGATGACCTCGCCTGGTACGGAGGAGGTTGTGGGTACGATCCCGACGCTGATGCCTGCTGGATGTTTAGAGTTTGCGTGTCCTTCCCGTGGTCGCGTGGATTTTCCTCCAGGTGCCCCCGGGGTTTTTCTCTCCGACATTGAGAATCAACTTGCGTCACGAGGATTTGGCTGCTATAAATGTCCACATGATAAGCCACTTCGTTGAGCTATCATTTGTGGCCAGGTCACTTTTTTTATTTTATCAATTTATTATTTTATTCTCATTCTACGTGACTTTACCGAAAGAACCAAAGAAGATGAATCATTGCAGTCACGAAAGCTTTAAATCGAAACGTAAACACCTTGTTTACCATGAACACCTTGTTTACCTACTACCTTGTTTACTGTGAACACTTTGTTTACCGTAAACACCTTGTTTACCGCTCGCTAAAAGCTCCATGGCGCAGTCAGTGGCCTTCATTTAAAATTGAGATGAATAAAGAGCTCTACCTAGCATTTACCTGTTACAAAACTTGTTCATGTGTAGTAGTGCCCCAGTAATTACCCTGTTATAAACCTTGTTCATGTGTAGTGGTGCCCCAGTAATTACCCTGTTACAAACCTTGTTCATGTGTAGTAGTGCCCCAGTAATTACCCTGTTACAAAACTTGTTCATGTGTAGTAGTGCCCCAGTAATTACCCTGTTATAAACCTTGTTCATGTGTAGCAGTGCCCCAGTAATTACCCTGTTACAAACCTTGTTCATGTGTAGTAGTGCCCCAGTAATTACCCTGTTACAAAACTTGTTCATGTGTAGTAGTGCCCCAGTAATTACCCTGTTATAAACCCTGTTCATGTGTAGTAGTGCCCCAGTAATTACCCTGTTATAAACCCTGTTCATGTGTAGTAGTGCCCCAGTAATTACCCTGTTATAAACCTTGTTTATGTGTAGTAGTGCCCCAGTAATTACCCTGTTATAAACCATGTTCATGTGTAGTAGTGCCCCAGTAATTACCCTGTTATAAACCCTGTTCATGTGTAGTAGTGCCCCAGTAATTACCCTGTTATAAACCCTGTTCATGTGTAGTAGTGCCCCAGTAATTACCCTGTTATAAACCCTGTTCATGTGTAGTAGTGCCCCAGTAATTACCCTGTTACAAACCCTGTTCATGTGTAGTAGTGCCCCAGTAATTTCCCTGTTATAAACCCTGTTCATGTGTAGTAGTGCCCCAGTAATTACCCTGTTATAAACCTTGTTCATGTGTAGTAGTGCCCCAGTAATTGCCCTGTCACAAACCTTGTTCATATGTAGTAGTACCCCAGTAATTACCCTGGTATAAACCTTGTTCATGTGTAGTAGTACCCCAGTAATTTCCCTGTTATTAACCTTGTTCATGTGTAGTAGTGCCCCAGTAATTACCCTTTTATAAACCTTGTTCATGTGTAGTAGTGCCCCAGTAATTACCCTTTTATAAACCTTGTTCATGTGTAGTAGTGCCCCAGTAATTACCCTGTTATAAACCTTGTTCATGTGTAGTAGTGCCCCAGTAATTACCCTGTTATAAACCTTGTTAATGTGTAGTAGTGCCCCAGTAATTACCCTGTTATAAACCCTGTTCATGTGTAGTAGTGCCCCAGTAATTACCCTGTTACAAACCTTGTTCATGTGTAGTAGTGCCCCAGCAATTACCCTGTTATAAACCTTGTTCATGTGTAGTAGTGCCCCAGTAATTACCCTGTTATAAACCCTGTTCATGTGTAGTAGTGCCCCAGTAATTACCCTGTTACAAACCTTGTTCATGTGTAGTAGTGCCCCAGTAATTACCCTGTTACAAACCCTGTTCATGTGTAGTAGTGCCCCAGTAATTACCCTGTTATAAACCCTGTTCATGTGTAGTAGTGCCCCAGTAATTACCCTGTTATAAACCTTGTTCATGTGTAGTAGTGCCCCAGTAATTGCCCTGTTACAAACCTTGTTCATGTGTAGTAGTACCCCAGTAATTACCCTGGTATAAACCTTGTTCATGTGTAGTAGTACCCCAGTAATTTCCCTGTTATAAACCTTGTTCATGTGTAGTAGTGCCCCAGTAATTACCCTGTTATAAACCTTGTTCATGTGTAGTAGTGCCCCAGTAATTACCCTGTAATAAACCTTGTTCATGTGTAGTAGTGCCCCAGTAATTACCCTGTTATTATCCTTGTTCATGCGTAGTAGTGCCCCAGAAATTACCCTGTTATAAACCTTGTTCATGTGTAGTAGTGCCTCAGTAATTACCCTGTTATAAACCCTGTTCATGTGTAGTAGTTCCTCAGTAATTACCCTGTTACAAACCCTGTTCATGTGTAGTAGTGCCCCAGTAATTACCCTGTTACAAACCCTGTTTATGTGTAGTGGTGCCCCAGTAATTACCCTGTTACAAACCCTGTTCATGTGTAGTGGTGCCCCAGTAATTACCCTGTTATAAACCTTGTTCATGTGTAGTAGTGCCCCAGTAATTACCCTGTTATAAACCCTGTTCATGTGTAGTAGTGCCCCAGTAATTACCCTGTTACAAACCTTGTTCATGTGTAGTAGTGCCACAGTAATTACCCTGTAATCGGGTAATTTGTATGGGGTAAGGGTCAAAGGTAGGGTCCAGGTAGGCCCGTTGCTTTTGACCTTTGACCTTTTACCTTGCTGAGGCCTAGTGAAACGTGCGCGCGCGATATCACACGAGGGTTGTTGTTGTTGTTTTTAAACTCCGGTTTGACGAACCACGCAGGCCCCAAAGGGTCTAGAATCGCCAAGCGGCCGGCAACAAGCAGGAACTGTGATCAGAGTCGTTAATGTACAAAGGTGGAACACATTTCTTGAACTGAGGGAGGTTATTACAGCATGGGAAGAACTGGGTATGCGGGGGGGGGGGGGGGGGTTTGCGGGGGTGGGGGAGCAAAGAGATGAAGACGAAGACCATGAAGACGAGGACGATGACGACGATGACGACGATGATGATGACGACGATGATGATGACGAGAATGATGACGAAGACGACGATGATGACGAGAATGATGACGAAGACGACAATGATGACGAGGACGAAGACGACGATGATGACGATGAACAATGATGACGAAGACGACGATGATGATGACGACGATGACGATGATGATGACGACGATGATGACGAAGACGACGATGATGATGAAGATGAAGACGACGCATGATGATGACGAGAATGATGACGACGACGATGATGATGACGACGAAGACGACGATGATGACAAAGATGACGATGACGATGATGATGAGGACGATAACGACGACAATGACCTGAGAGGGAATTCCAGAATGGAACAGGGCGAGGGAAGAAGCAGTGTGGTGAGTGGGTGAGTGAATGAGCGAGCGAGCGAGCGAGTGATGGAGTCACATCGTGATCCCGGGTGGCACGCGTGCGTGTATGTGTGTGACTGTGTGTGACGCTCCTCACGGTAGTGCAGCGGTCAGCGCGCTGCGCTACAAACCCGGCAACCCGAGTTCGATTCCCGCTCATGGTCAACACCAGTGACGATTATATATTATCTGAACCAGTCTTGGGTACTCCCCTAGGTCGACTCAGCCTCAAGTGAGGCCCACACCACCACCTCGTGTGCCGTGCCGGCCTTCATAGGTGCTACTCGCGAACAGCACTTGCCCCCGACAGTCTGTTACGGGCTACGCGGGAGATCTTTGTACGTGTATGTGTGTATATTTGCGTGTGTGCCGGCCTTCACAGGTGCTACTCGCTAACAGCACTTGCCCCTACAGTCTGTTACAGGCTATAGAAGTGGGGATGGTGGTGGGCGGGGACCTCTGTCTTTATCTTTGACGCATGTCGCCTTGCAGGACTGGTGGCCGTGTTCGACTTCCACCAGACGAAGGGCTTCCCACACCTCTACAGCCTGCACAGCTGGTGCGGCCTGGGCGTGGTCATCCTCTACTTCGTGCAGGTGATCGTGGCGTGCCCCCCCCCCCCATCCCCCTCCCCCCCCACCCACCCACCCACACACCCCCATGGGATAGAATCGGAAATGTTCATCAAGACTGCAAAAGGAATCCGATGAGCTCTGAAGCATATTTTTCAGAGACGTTCCAATCAGCAGGTGAAGGGCCCCCCCCACGCTGGGCCCGGGTTGCTTGTCGCTAACGAATTAGAGGGCCATGCGTGCAGGGACGGAGCCGGGGGGCGGGGGGTGACAGGGGGTTGACATTCTGCGTGTAGGTGCACGGCACTCGGTCTGGCGGACTCGGCGCAACTGCATCGTCGAGAGCGTGTGTCCGCCGATGTATGTGTCTCTGTGTGTGTGTGTGTGTCTCTCTGTGTGTGTGTCTCTCTGTGTGTGTGTCTCTCTGTGTGTGTGTGTCTCTCTCTGTGTGTGTGTGTCTCTGTGTGTGTGTGTGTCTCTGTGTGTGTGTGTCTCTCTCTGTGTCTCTCTCTCTGTGTGTGTCTCTCTCTGTGTGTGTCTCTCTCTGTATGTGTCTCTCTCTGCGTGTGTCTCTCTCTGTGTGTGTGTCTCTCTCTGTATGTGTCTCTCTCTGTGTGTGTCTCTCTCTGTATGTGTCTCTCTCTGTGTGTGTTTTTCTCTGTGTGTGTCTCTCTCTGTATGTGTCTCTCTCTGTATGTGTCTCTCTCTGTATGTGTCTCTCTCTGTGTGTGTCTCTCTCTGTATGTGTCTCTCTCTGTGTGTGTCTTTCTCTGTGTGTGTCTCTCTCTGTATGTGTCTCTCTCTGTATGTGTCTCTCTCTGTATGTGTCTCTCTCTGTATGTGTCTGTGTGTGTGTGTCTCTCTCTGTGTGTCTCTCTCTGTATGTGTCTCTCTCTGTATGTGTCTCTCTCTGCATGTGTCTCTCTCTCTGTGTGTATCTCTCTGTATGTGTCTCTCTCTGTATGTGTCTCTCTCTGTATGTGTCTCTCTCTGTATGTGTCTCTCTCTGTATGTGTCTCTCTCTGTATGTGTCTCTCTCTGTATGTGTCACTCTCTGTGTGTGTCTCTCTCTGTGTGTCTCTCTCTGTATGTGTCTCTCTCTGTATGTGTCTCTCTCTGTATGTGTCTCTCTCTGTATGTGTCTCTCTCTGCATGTGTCTCTCTCTCTGTGTGTCTCTCTCTGTGTGTGTCTCTCTCTGTATGTGTCTCTCTCTGTTTGTGTCTCTCTCTGTATGCGTCTCTCTCTGTATGTGTCTCTCTCTGTATGTGTCTCTCTCTGTATGTGTCTCTCTCTGTGTGTCTCTCTATGTATGTGTCTCTCTCTGTATGTGTCTCTCTCTGTATGTGTCTCTCTCTGCATGTGTCTCTCTCTCTCTGTGTGTCTCTCTCTGTATGTGTCTCTCTCTGTATGTGTCTCTCTGTGTGTGTCTCTCTCTGTATGTGTCTGTGTGTGTGTGTGTGTCTCTCTCTGTGTGTGTCTCTCTCTGTGTGTCTCTCTCTGTATGTGTCTCTCTCTGCATGTGTCTCTCTCTCTGTGTGTCTCTCTCTGTATGTGTCTCTCTCTGTATGTGTCTCTCTGTGTGTGTGTCTCTCTCTGTATGTGTCTCTCTCTGTGTGTGTCTTTCTCTGTGTGTGTCTCTCTCTGTATGTGTCTCTCTCTGTATGTGTCTCTCTCTGTATGTGTCTCTGTGTGTGTGTGTCTCTCTCTGTGTGTCTCTCTCTGTATGTGTCTCTCTCTGCATGTGTGTCTCTCTCTGTGTGTCTCTCTCTGTATGTCTCTCTCTGTATGTGTCTCTCTCTGTATGTGTCACTCTCCGTGTGTGTGTGTCTCTCTCTGTGTGTCTCTCTCTGTATGTGTCTCTCTCTGTATGTGTCACTCTCCGTGTGTGTGTGTCTCTCTCTGTGTGTCTCTCTCTGTATGTGTCTCTCTCTGTATGTGTCTCTCTCTGCATGTGTCTCTCTCTCTGTGTGTCTCTCTCTGTGTGTGTGTCTCTCTGTATGTGTCTCTCTCTGTATGTGTCTCTCTCTGTATGTGTCTCTCTCTGTATGTGTCTCTCTCTGTATGTGTCTCTCTCTGTATGTGTCTCTCTACATGTGTCTCTCTCTCTCTCTCTGTGTGTCTCTCTGTGTGTGTGTGTGTCTCTCTGTGTGTGTGTGTCTCTCTCTGTGTGTCTCTCTCTCTGTGTGTGTGTCTCTCTGTGTGTGTCTCTCTCTGTGTGTGTCTCTCTCTGTCTGTGTCTCTCTCTCTGCATGTATCTCTCTGTATGTGTCTCTCTCTGCATGTGTCTCTCTCTCTGTGTGTGTCTCTCTCTGTCTGTGTCGCTCTCTGCATGTCTCTCTTTGTATGTGTCTCTCTCTCTGCATGTGTCACTCTGTGTGTGTGTCTCTCTCTGCATGTGTCTCTCTCTGTGTGTGTCTCTCTGCATGTGTCTCTCTCTGTATGTGTCTCTCTCTCTCTGCATGTGTCTCTCTCTGTATGTGTGTGTCTCTCTCTGCATGTGTCTCTCTGTATGTGTCTCTCTGCATGTGTCTCTCTCTGTATGTGTCTCTCTCTGCATGTGTCTCTCTCTGCATGTGTCTCTCTCTGTATGTGTCTCTCTCTGTGTGTGTGTCTCTCTCTGTATGTGTCTCTCTCTGCATGTCTCTCTCTCTGCATGTGTCTCTCTCTGCATGTCTCTCTCTCTGCATGTGTCTCTCTCTGCATGTGTCTCTCTGTATGTGTCTCTCTGCATGTGTCTCTCTCTGCATGTCTCTCCTTCTCTCTGCATGTGTCTCTCTCTGCGTATGTCTCTCTGCATGTGTCTCTCTCTGTGTGTCTCTCTCTGCATGTGTCTCTCTCTGCATCTGTCTCTCTCTGCATGTGTCTCTCTCTGTGTGTGTCTCTCTCTGCATGTGTTTTTCTCTGCATGTCTGCATGTGTCTCTCTCTGCGTGTATCTCTGTGTGTCTCTCTCTGTGTGTGTCTCTCTCTGCATGTGTCTCCCTCTGCTTGTGTCTCTCTCTGTATGTGTCTCTCTCTGCATGTGTCTCTCTCTGTATGTGTCTCTCTCTGCATGTGTCTCTCTCTGCATGTCTCTCTCTCTGTATGTGTCTCTCTCTGCATGTGTCTCTCTCTGCATGTGTCTCTTTCTTTGCATGTGTGTCTCCCTATGCTGTTCCCGTGTCTGTGTTTCATCATTCTTTCTTACCTGATGATGGTTGCTTGTGTTGCAACCGAAACGTCGTATTCTATTACTCATTTGATTTAATTTTCCACGTGACTTTACCGACAGAACCAAAGACGAGTTTAGCTTTTAGTTTTTTAGCCAATCAGCAAGGGCTTGTCACGTTATAACAAACCCCCCACGACCTCCTGCATACCAAGCGAAGGAGTTAACATCTCGCCACCGCGGCTGCATCCGCTGGTGGCGGTGTTCATCGAAGCGTCCCTATTTTCGCGCGATCCGGCCCAAAAATCAACCTTTCGTGCGGACGTGCCGTTGTCTTTGTGTGCGGGAGAGCCGCCGTTAACAGACCAGCGGCGTCTCGTCTCACCGCGGCCCATTATAGAGACTAGCGGATAGCGGAGCAGCCGGCTTGCCAGCGTTTGGCGTCTGTACGACGGAAACTTGGAGCGACCGTGGTCAACTGATCTCAAATGACGGATCTTTGCGTGTCCCCTCCGTTGTCTTCTCCTCGGTGCTGCAGTGGCTGCTGGGCTTCGGCTTTTTCCTCTTCCCGCGGGCAGCGCCGGAGTCGCGCTCCGCCTACCGCTCCATCCACACCTTCTTCGGCCTCGCTCTCTTCGTGCTCTCCGTCGCCACGGCAACGATGGGTCTCACCGAGAAGCTGATCTACGCCATAGGGTTGTGTGCCCTTGCCGCCACCACCACCACCACCACCACCACCCCGACACGCGCACACACACGCGCACACACAACACAAAGATCCCCACGTGTAGCCTGGAACAGACTGTTGGGGCAAGTGCTGTTAGCGAGCAGCACCTGTGAAGGCCTGGCACGGCACACACGAGGGGGTGGGTGGCCAGCACCACGCCCGGTCGCCTTTGTCTCCCCCAGTGTGCGATTTTTACACATCGCACCAGGTACTCATTTGAGGCTGAGTCGACCTAGGGGAGGCCCATGACCGGTTCAGATTATCGTCACTGGTGTTGGCCGTGAGTGGGAATTGAACTCGGGTTGCCGGGTTCGTAGTACAGCCTAGCGCTAACCGCTTCACTACCCACACACACAAACATCCACAACAACAACCGCCATTCGCCACTAAGTGGTGGTGACGTCACCACGACGCTTGTGCCAGGCCATGTGCACGTTGAGGCCATGTGGAGTGTCGAACGTCCGCTGGCAGGAGGTCATGGGGCAGACCCAGGTACCACGGGTCGACTGACTGAGATGGCTGGCTGATGCACCATCTGTGCCCCCTACTGTGCCAACCTGCTATGCTTTAGCCACCCGGCGCTCCGCTCGTTGTTCTGAGCGTCACTCTTCCGCCCTCCGTTGTTGTTGGAGGGCGACTGCCTCCAACTGCCCAGTAGCATCTTTCACGAGCCTCCTCCACAGAGGCCGATCTTGACACCGCTGGTACCAGTCATCGGCAAGTCCACTCAGCTCCACGTCCTCCTGTACCACACCACTCCATCTCTTCTCTAGCCCGTGCCGCACCCGCTTAGCCCCCTCAATCCGGCCGAACAAAAGCTGTTTCGGCATGCGTTGGCTGGGCATGCGGGCTACATTACCCAGCCATCACAGCCTTGCCCGCCGGAGGAGCTCACCGATGGGACCTTGCCCAGATCTTTCAAAGATTTGTGAGCTCCTCACACAATCCAGTCTGGTTAAACCCAGGATGGATCGTATGCAGGCCAGCCTAAATGTTTCTAACCGGCGAAGATGTTCCATTAGGGGGGTCCACGTTTCGCAAGCGTAGAGAAGGGAGGGAATGGCCGTGGCCGAGAAGACCTGAGGCTTAGTGCGGAGCGACAGACCAGGTAGCTTCCACACAGCGTTACGCAACCGATGAAAAGATATTGCCGCTCGACTGATTCGGAGTGAGACCTCTGCTGTTAAACTTGAGCCAGTCATAAGCACACTGCCCAGGTATGGGAAACTCTCCACTCTCTCCACAACTGCCCCATCACCGATTGGGAGTTGTGGGGGTGGAGTGTCCGATGGTACAAAATACCCAGGCAGGTGCTTAGTTTTGGTGGGGCTGATGGTAAGGCCCCACCTCTTAGTGGCACGCTCCAGTCTCAGCAGCAGCGTCTCCAACTCCTCCTCTGACTGAGCAGCTATTACCAAATCATCAGCATACATAACGTGGTTGAGCAATAGGGAGCCATCCCTTGACCGCACCCGGGCATCGATCAGCCTCCCATTATATCTGTACCATATGGAGATTCCCCCGGTACAGCTATTGAAGGCTTCACGAACTACGTGGTCAACATAGATGTTAAATAATGTGGGAGCCAGAGGACATCCCTGTCGCACCCCAAGGTGTACAGGGAATGGCTCTGACTCCCAGCCACGTAGTTTTACCCGGGCCCGCTCACCATCATGAAGGTCCTTAATGATCGTGAGCAGAGGGTCAGGTACTCCAAAAGCACGAAGAACGACCCAGAGCCCAGGCTTACTGATGGTATCATAGGCCTTGACCAGGTAAATAAAGCAGAAATGTAGGTCTTGTTGGAATTCCCTACACCTCTGCTGTAGCAGACGGACAGAAAATATGACATCTGTGCAGGACCGCCCTTTCCTGAAACCGCATTGGGGCTCCGCATTCTCTCCTCAGCATGCCTGGCAAGGCGATGCTGAATAATCCTTGCCTGGACCTTTCCCGGCACACTGAGGAGTGAGATGCCCCTGTAGTTGTTACAGTCTGTGCGGTCCCACTTCTTAAAGAGGGGGACCACCAGGGCATCCTTCCAATCCTGCGGAACCCGTCCAGTGGTCCAGACCGTTGTTATGATGTCATATAGGTCAGTCTGTGCACAAACGCCACCCTCCCTCAGCATTTCGCTTGGGAGATCATCTCTGCCCGCTGCCTTTCCTGGTCTCAGACTCTGGATCGCCTTCAGTACTTCCTCAACAGATGGCACCTCAGACAGCCACTCACAGAGGGTGACTTCTTCCAATATTTGAGGCACCGCAGCCTCAGCAGGGTCATCCTCACTTTGTGCCACAATGTTTTCCTGGCTGAGGGATTTTCCCTCCCCCAGGACCTCACAGAAATGCTCAGCAAATCTGCAAACCTGTTCCTGGGGGTCGGAGATTGGATCACCGTTTTTTCCCCTAATGATGGTAATAGGTGTGGCGCTGCAGGTTACTTTTTTGATGGAGTTAAATAGAGATTTGTGATCACGGGCCACTGAGGCAGACTCCATCTTCTCAGCAACCCGCGACCACCACCCATCCTTGCAGCGCCTCACGGCTCTCCGAACCTCCGAGCGAAGGCTGCGGTAAGCCTCCTCATTCTCTGACGTGGGATTCTGTAGCCGATGACAGTGGGCCTGTCGCTTTTTCTCAACCATCCTGAACACCTCCTCTGTCAGCCAGGGTCTCTGGGGAGGTCTGGACCGCGTACCCAAAGCAGCCATTGCAGCTGCATGAGTCACAGTCCTAAACCTCGCCCATTTACCCTCGACATCAGGAGGAGTCGGGGACGATGCAAATCCCACCCGCAAGCGATGATGAAATTCTCGCTTGCAACTTTCATCAGATAACTGAGACCAGGCCACTTTAGGTCGGAATGGGGTGCTGGGTGTACACCCACCACCGGAGTAGAAGAATGGAAGGCGCATCTTACAAATGACTAGTCGATGGTTAGAGGGCAGATCAGCTCCACGGTAGGTCCTGGTGTCAAGGACATGGGCTCGCATTCGCTGGTCCGTCACTATGTAGTCCAGCAGATGTTCTTGCTTGGACCCGGCATGCATCCATGATGTTGTGTGGATGCGCCGATGCCGGAACAGCGTGTTGGTAATTACAAGCCCATGGGCTGCACAAAAATCTAGCAGCCTCCTACCGTTGTTATTGAGCTGATCTGGCCCATGCCCTCCAATCACTCCAGACCAGGTGCCAGCATCATGACCAACTCGGGCATTGAAGTCACCCAACATGATGACTCTATCCCGAGGGGCCACTTTAGCCAGCACCTGTGACAGGAGGTCATAGAAGGCATCTGACTCATCGGCTTTGCCTGCATCCCTCCACGGATGTTCATCTTCGGTGGGGGCATAAGTAACCACGACCACCATTCCTCGCCTCCGGTTGATGGGAAGCCGAGCCCAAAGTAGCCTGGAGCTTAAAGCTTCCCACACCTCACCGCCACGCTCCCACGCCCCCTTCATTCTTTTGTTCAAAAGAAGAGCAACACCCTGAAAAAAAACACACCCACACACACACACCCACACACACAAACACACCCACACATACAAACACCCACACACACACACCGGCGCGCGCGTGTTGCATTGGGTGTGATGCTGGCTATGTTTGTTGCTATGGTTGTTTACGTTTGTTGTGACGATTGTGCTGTTTGCCAAGGTCGCGTTGGTTCCTATGCTTGTCGGTTGTGCCGGTTGCCACGGTTGTTGTTGTTTGCGCGTTGCTTGCCACTGTCACGATTGTCGCTGCCGGCTCGGTCCACAGGGACCGGTACGGCGAGTACCCGGCGGAGGGGATCCTCGCCAACTGCCTGGGCCTGGCACTGATCGGGTTTGGTGCCGCGGTGGCCTACGTGGTGACGCGCGACGAGTGGCGCTACCGGCGGCACGACGGCGAGGAGGCGCCGCTCTCGCTGCACTTCCAGCGGTTCAGCGACGAGCGCGCCGACTGAGCCACACGCTCCTGCCTGAGCCTCAGAATCACTCACTCACTCACCCCCCTTCCTTCCCTCTCTCCCCCCTACCTCCGTCTCCTCCCTCTCCTCTCTTCCCCCCTCCCTCCCCTCCCTCCCTCCCCCCCTTCCCTGCCTTGCTCCCCCCCCTCACTCCCCCCCCTCCCTCCCTCCCCCCCCTCCCCTCCCTCCCTCCCCTCCCTCCCTCCCTCCCCCCCCTCCCCCCCTCCCCTCCTCCCCTCCCTCCCTCCCCCCTTCCCTGCCTTGCCCCCCCCCTCGCTCTCCCCCTCCCTCCATCTCCTCCCTCTCCTCCCTTCCCCCCTCCCTCCCCTCCCCTCCCTCCCTCCCCTCCCCTCCCTCCCCTCGCTCTCCCCCTCCCTCCCTCTCCTCCCTCCCACACCTCCCCCACCTCCCTCCCTCCCTCCCTCCCCCACCTCCCTCCCTCCCCGTAACCACAATGATTTTTTCTCAGGGTCTCTCCCCCGGTCATTCCGTCCACATTTAGAAACATGCGTTTTAAAATATTTGGCTGCTATAAATGTCCACGTGATAGGCCACTTCGTTGGGCATTTGCGATAGCCAGGTTGCTTCTAAACAAAAAAGAGCTATATGGCTCAGTGGGCCTTACCTGGTAAAATAAAAAAGGTTTTTTTTCAGTAAGAATAAAATGTTTATTGTTCATAGGTTGTGTCCGGGCTCACTGGTCTCAAGTATCTAAAGAGAGAAAAAAAAATCCGATTAGCACGGCCTGCTATGTGCATTGCGAAAGAACTTCACACAGAATCAGAACTCTTTATTAATACCAGAGGAATCCGATGAGCTATGAAGCTGGCTTTTTTTTATTATTCCGACCAGCCCCCCCCCACAGACGTTCAGTAGGGACGGGTCAAAACGTTACACGACGAGCGAGGCGAAGTTTCGAGCGAGTGAAACCTGTAAAGACGTCCTTGAGACTAGGCGGACGACCTCGTTGACAAAGTCATCGTTTGTTGAGTCAACCGCGATGCCCGACGTTTCGCTCCACGTGCCTGTGCACCGTTGCCAACGCGGCAGCGGCAGCAGCGGCGGCAGCGGCATCGACAAACAATTTGTCTGACGTCCGTCCGATTCTCAACATAACTTGAGGGCGTTAACAAACAACAAAAACACCTTGCAGTTTACATTTTTATTTTTCATTCGTGCCGTCATCAAATGGCGATGCTTACTATATATGTACAATGTAGCATGTTTTGGTTTGCATATGGCTGTGTTTATTAAGAGATGTATCATTGATGACAATGTAATTATTCATTCTGGAACGCAGCGTTAGTTGGGACATGCATGTGAATGTGTGCAGTGGGGAGCGGTAGTGTAGCGGTTAGCGCGCTGCGCTATGAACCTGGCGACCCGGGTTCGATTCCCGCTCACGGCCAACACCAGTGACGATTATCTGAACCGGTCCCGGGCCTCTCCTAGGTCGACTCAGCCTCAAATGAGTACGTGGTGCGGTGTGTAAACATTGCCACTAGGGAGACAAAGGCGGTCGGGCGTGGTGCTGGCCACCCACCCCCTCGTGTACCGATCCGGCCTTCATAGGTACTCGCTAACAGCACTTGCCCCTACAGTCTGTTAAGGCTATATGGGGGATCTTTGTCTTTTGTGTGTCTATAGCCGTTGCGGGGAAGTGCACCTAGCCTGGCGCAAGCGCCGTGGTGATGTCAGCACCACTAATTCGTGTCGAATCGCGGCTGTTGCTCTTGTCGCGATTGGAGCGCTGATGCAGTGGCTCACGTGGCTGTGCAATGGACCTGGCATGTCGAGTTCGACAAAGAGCAGTGGCGAATGTCTGAAGCGATTGTGGGCCTCCCCTAGGTCGACTCGGCCTTAAATGAGTACCTGGTGCGGTGTGTGTGTGTGTGAACATCAGTACTGCGGAGACAAAGGTAGCCGCGCGTGGCGCTGGCCACCCACCCACCTTGTGGGGCCGTGTTGGCCTTCATAGGTGCTTCTCGCTTAACTCATAGTTTATTTGGTTTATTTATTGGGTATAGCCCTGTGAGCCATTCGGCTCTTGAATCGGGTGCAACCTCAACAAACAAAAAACATGAACAAGAAAACATCTTAAAGTGACTTTGTGTGACTTTGTGCAAACAGAAAATCCAGGGAAAAAAAACAATCAAAATATTCCTGAAATAGCACCGTACACCAACACTGTGTGCAAAAATCCCAGTGGGATGCAAGTCAAATAACAACAACCACAAGACAACTAAGATTAAGGCCATCAGTCTAACTCCGTACTACAATAAACAAAAACATGGCCAAAAAAACAAAAAAACGTTTTCGAAATCACCAAAATAAAAGGCATAAATGCAATGTAACGGTGATCATAGGGACTGTGACCGAATTTTTTAACAATAAACTACATAAATAAATTATAACACCAAAATCCAGAGCCACATTTTAGGCCACTGAATAGCAGTGGCAGCTAGGGGTGTACAACTCCTCTAGAGCAGTTTTGAGTGAAGATCTCATAGGTAGTGATTCAAGTTGCAGTTTATTGGGAATAGCATTCCAGACCCTGGGGGCATCAACTGCAGTTGAAGGCTACGCATCAGGCCCCGTGCTGTCTCTCTCCTGCCGCGATTGCGACGAGAGCATGGGCCAGCTCAATGTCCCGTCTGAACACAAGGAATGCCACCGTATTGGTGTAACCAACCTTCATCAGTGTCGAATTTCGACCACCATGGGGCGCCTACGTTGTGTCACGTGTGTTTGCCCAAACTGTGCATGTAACCTTGTAAAATACAGGATGTATGCGAAGGTTTTTTTTTTACGATTTTTGCGGTTTTTTTGCATTCCGAAGCGGCGTCTGTTTTGCGAGCGGGCGCACTGCTGGTGAGCCCGGTCACCCGAGTTGGATTCCCGGCCACGGCCGGCGTCAGCGGAAGGGGATGTCCAATCAGAAACCTGGGCACGCTCTTCATCAACCCGCACTGACCACTGCGGTGAATCGCGTAAATATATAAATGTGTCGTTTAAACCCCACCACCACCCGACACAGCCAACTAGTAAGGGTTGTCACGTAAACAGAACGTGACCAATTCGTCACTAGTACAGCACACCGGTGTGCTGGTGAGCCAAGCCACAACATTTAAAAAGTGGAGATTAGTTCACGCTTGCTGTGCCGCATATTCCTGGCGAAACCGCGGTATGGCACAGCATCCTCGACACCCACGGGAAGGGAGTATTGCAACATTGGTGTGTGCAGTGATCGACCAACCCCTGCTGCTGCTGCTGCTGCCACCTCCAGTCCTGGATAACGGGCAGCCACGTGCAGCGTAGCAGAGCGAGGAGGTTGATGATCTGTCTGTACGGATTGCTCAGAATCGGGAATCAGAATTTTTATACGGGAGGAATCCGGTGATCTCTAAAGCTATTTTTCACAGGCATCTAGTAGGGGCAGGTCAGAACGTAACAACAACAACAACACAGAAACACGATCGGAGTGAAAAGTATAGGAAAGGTAAAGAAGTCGCTTAAAAATTAAAATTAAACTAAGCTGTGTTTTAACTTACCAGGCAGAGATTACTGAGCAGGCGTCATGGTCGGGATGGAACCTACGGCCTCCTGTATACCAGGCAAGGTAGTTAACATCTAGCCACCGTGATGATGAGACAGAGACACACACATCTCCACATATACAGGTGTCAGGATTGAACCCACGACCTATATACCAGGCGAGGCAGTTAACATCTCCTAGCCACCGTGATGATGAGAGAGAGAGACACGCAACTCCACATATGCAGGTGTCAGGATTGAACCTACGGCCTCCTGTATACTAGGCGAGGTAGTTAACATATTCTAGCCACCGTGATGATGAGAGAGAGAGACACGCAACTCCACATATACAGGTGTCAGGATTGAACCTACGGCCTCCTGTATACCAGGCGAGGTAGTTAACATCTCCTAACCACCGTGATGATGATGAGAGAGAGAGACACGCTAACTCCACATATACAGGCGTCAGGATTGAACCCACGACCTCCTGTACACCAGGCGAGGCAGTGAACATCTCCCAGCCACCGCGGCACCCTTATAACAGCAATCTGCTGGTGTGCGTTCGTGACGTCCCGGTCCACCTACAGATTCCGCCTGCTATACATTAATGTGGGATTGGGTCAAGCATCCCATTGGTGCAGCGTCCTCTAGAAGGAGTTGAGAGTCGGTGAGGTTTCACCTGAGGAACGGACATTGTTTTGCCTGCCATCACGATCATCATCATCATCAACAGCCACGATTGTTGCACTGGTGGATGAAGGCCTTGCCAAGCTGGGAGATCTGCAGTTAAAGGCATCGTCTTCACGTAAGTATGTACTGTAGTTCATGTTCTTGGTTCTTTCGGTAAAGTAACGTTGAAGGGAAACAATAAAATATTAAAATATATAAAACAATAAAAATCTCACGACGTTTCGACTGCAACACAAGCAGTCATCATCAGGTGTGAAAACCAATGGCAAGAAACTTTTAAATGAAGTGGCGGTTTGTATCTATTTATTTATTTATTTTTAAACGTTAGCACCACGGATAGCGATTTGACAGTTTGTTTAGATGGACGAGTCCATCTATGTTCGGAAAAGAGGAGGGGGGAGACGAAAAATTCATGTATGCTGTCTGAAAGCCACCGTAAGCGTGAACAATCAATTAAGACCCGAAATGGTTTATCACTTCCTTCCAATGATTGCTAAGCCAGAATCCATCTTCTCGGTTGAAATTGTCTCTGTGTTTGTATAAGTGGATAGCCTTTAAATAAAAAAAATATGTACTGTAGGTTGAACTTCTTTCGCACCGTACGTAGCCAACCGTGCTTATCGGAGGTGCGGGGGAAGGACAACAAACAAGCTGCTGAGGCAGACTGTTTTAAAGGTTTTTAAAACCTTTTTTTTAAACCTTTGAAACAGTCTGCCTCAGCAGCTGTCCTCTGATGACGATCGCTCGTGTTGTGATCGAAACGTCGTCGTTTTTTTAAAAAATATTTTCTTTCAACCTATCTACGTGACTTTACCGAAAGACCCAAAGAATACAATGCCATAAGGCTGTCATTTTGTAGGCCCTCTATTCCA